AAGGGTGACAGCATACCATTACACTCTCTCCCTTTGTGTGTCCATGTATATTTATCAATGTGTATGTGTGCACAAATGTGTGTGTCCATTCCCTTGAAATAAATGATCACTGCACCCTCATTTCTTCTTTCTCACCCCACACACTGCAAACTCCCCCCGTCGTGTAAAACATTCTGATCTCTGAATCTCCGACATTTCTTATTCCAAGTGAAGTGAAGCAGGAATGCTATCCGCTTTGTAATCAATTGAACGCTCACAGAGATGCTGTTTTCACTCCACCCACATCCTCCTACGCAACACACACACACACACACACCGGTGTGCACACACACACACATACGCACACACATAAACACAGCGTTTCAGATCCCTGGTGTGCTGAGAAGATTGGCTGCAGAAGGCTCGACAACGACACCTCCTACACTGAAACATGCAAGTGAACAGCGAGCACGAACACAGACACCCACAAACACACACGCACGATTAAGAAAACATACACATGCACACAATCTCTTAGGTATTACATATCAATTTCAATGTGCCCTTTGACATTTTACAGAATTCTTTGTCTGATTGAACCGTTTCTGACTTCTGTTTAGCATTTTTCTGTTGCTAAAGTATAAACTAAAGATTATGCAACAACAAAATATACATTTTACAGCTGAATTGTGTGAATCTGTCTATTAATTGTGATTGTGATTGATATGTGTGTATGAATGTGGGAAAAATTGTGTTTTGTCTAACATAACATAGACCAAAAGGCATCGTCCACTTTTAAGAACTAAAATCCACAATCTCAACTATTTTATCAGTCTGTGGGGAATGAAAATGACTCAAAATGATCTTTAAATCACTTACTGAACACTGAACTTAGAGAAAACCTTTCTTCCGAGCATCCAGTGTCTTTCTCTAAGCTTTGAGCCCCATGTTAAAACATTTTGCTGGCTGTCTGAAAGCTCTGTGCGCAAAGTTTTAGACTTTCTAGACATGCACAAAGTCAGTTTTTGGAAGCCAAGCTGAAAATTTCAGTTCTTGACAATGTGTTTAAGTGTGTGTGTTGTGTACTGTGAGAACCCAGATATTTCCTCCAGTCATGTCCTACAGTCAGAGAGATCAGAGCGCTGAGCGTGAGGTACTATGACAGGGGTAAGAGAATTTTCTTGGTATCGAAGAAGGAAAAAAAATTCAAGCCATTGGGAGTCAGAAAAAAAAAGTGAAATAAGATGGCATGATGCGAATAGCCGGAAGGCTGTGCACACTAATACTTGCTCTTTCAAACCACAAAAGCTTTTCAGAGCCACTAATTCATTTTACAAAGCAGGCTGTGCGCTGATTCCAGTAATTAGCAAGACAGGGGGAGAGGAGGATGGCAGGGAAATGCACTCTGAAAATGTTGCAAATATTGTTGTTGCCAGATGTTTTTCTTTACATACTCACATGCACACACACCCTCCATCCCTTAAAACCCTCACGCTTTTGTAGGATAACACCAAAACACATGCAAACAGACAAACAGGAACACACACACACCTTTTCTGGAGGAGATGAGTCTTGCCAGCAGCTCGCTGAGGTTGGCTCGGGAGTCTGCATCCTCCTCAGCCAGAGGAAGAGCTTTCAGCTGGGGGGCAGAGCGGCTGTGTTGGAGGTGGGGCTCTCCCAAGGTGTGGGTGTCAGCCTCAAGGAGAGCTACTCAATACAGACAAACAAAGACACACACAAGAGCAGATGTCAGATATGAAAACTTACTGTGGTATTAATGAAACCGTTTAGTTAGGGGCTTGTCTCTGCCTGCAGTGAGATTTGTACCTTCAGAAGGTGCGGAGAGGGAGCGCTGGCCCTCGTCAAAGAGCTGGGAGGAGAAAGGGAGCCCCAAACAGCTTGTACACAGGACTGCCAGCACGACACACACACATAGCCCTGCAGTCATCTAAAACACAAAGAGAGAGAGAGAGACAGTGAGAGAGAGAAGCATACAGGGAAAGTTTAGTAAGAAGGAATCTGAGAAGCAGTCCAGTCTGCGTTTACACCAGACGTTATCGTCTCCTGACTCAACAGTCATCTTCTACACTAAAAAACTACAACTGAGACAATCTGCCATCTGCCAGACAACTGCTCTTTCACAGTTAATGATCACTCTGACTGCACCAAAGAGGCAAGTGAATCAGAACAGCATATTCACACCATGATCCAGGGGCACAGCAGGCAACACACTGTAGATACTTGGATCTTAATATCCTGAGCTCAATTTCAGCAGGTCAGATCGACCTGATTGTCAATGCAGAAAGAATTTCTTTCCACTTTGCTGTCAGGAAAAAATCTCATGAAAAAAAATGGACAGCAAGTAAATTTGTCATTATATATAACTTTTTATTTGTTTAAACAAATTTGAACAAAACATAACTAATGTGATGTTTTCACATACATTTACGTATTTAAATAATTCAAGGCAAATTTGAAACAGAACGTTTACATTTTGCCATCTTTCCTTACATCAATAGGTTCTCATGAAAATTGCCTCCTTGTTTGAATTCCAGTCTGATTATGAAGTATAAAAACCCATCTCCTAAAATGCTAAAAACCCTGCTGTCAGATAGTAAAAAAGAAAATGTGGTTTCCTTACCTTGAGAAAAGACGTTTGGCGTGTAAGAGGAGTGTGTGAGAGTGAGGAGAGCACTTCTCTGTTGAGTGGGAAGGATGCCCCTTTTATACTCCCCGCTCAGCGTCCTGTTAGAGTGTGTGTGTGTGTGTGTTGCCTCGGTGTACATCCTGTGTATTAATCGGTGTGTTAGCAAGCCTAATGTGGGTGAATTTGCTACAACCTCAACAATAAGACAGCATGCTTCAGTTTTATTGTCTGTTTGTTCATCATAAAATTCAACATCAGGAGCTGCCTTGTTGACGTGGATTAATAAATTTTATGTGTGTGTGTGTGTGTAATAGAGTGTGTTTAAGTGTGTTCTGCACATATGAGTGAATCATGGATCAACAGTATAGCTTGAAAACAGTGTTGAAAAGTTCTTTATTTTGATGAAAATAAATTGCATTTGTATTCAGTATTAACTACACTTTAACTGCTGTCATAAGGTGTGTGTGTGTGTGTGTGTGTGTGGGAGGGAAGCTGTGTGGTCAGGCATGTGTAGGTGTGTGTATTTGTACACACCCACACATGTATTAGATGTCAGCGGATGTTCACACTTAAAAAGTGGGCGGAAGCAGAGAGGAGACTCTTCAGTTTTGTTCATTTAACAGGTGACTGAGCTCGAACTGAGACATCTCCACCATCCTCCTGCGGTCTCTTTCCCCCCTCTCTCTCCCCTCTCTCTAACCACCCAGGATTACCCCGGCTCATTGATCATGCAGGTGTAGCAAATCGGTCAGCCTGAGTCAATAGCTATTGATCAGCTGTAGTGAGTTAATGTTTTTATTAATGGGGCCGACAGCCCACTGATGCGTGACGGGATTAGGATCTCTGCCACTGGACCGGAGCTGTTTGTACCTGCTGAGATAATGTGGACATAACAATCTAGCATCAGTAAGGCTGTTAACTAAGGTTAACATCCACTGGGGAATCACAGAGGAGGAATACAGGCATCCTTTTATTGCTGTAGTCTGACTAAGAGAGATAAATGAGTGATGGATTTAAAATGGAGAGCTGACACACACACACACACATAAATGATCGGTACTCAAAAGTAACTCTCTCCTGGAGTGCTGACATTCAATTAAATATGGATCAAGTGCTCGTTTGCTGCCAAATAAATTACCATTACATCTGTCAGAAGTTTCTGTTAAAATTAGTAACTGTTCCCCTGATACTTGACTTATAATTGCTGGTGGAGATGAATGACCTGTTCAAACACTACATACATATTTCAAATGAAAAGAAAATGGTTGCCAAACTACCAAAAGTAAATGTACCTGAAACCTGCTACTCAGGGACCAAAACAGGCCAATATTTCTAAATCTTGATCAGTTTAATCTATCTAATCAAACATAAGAATGTACCTGCAATATATATGATCAGAGAAGTACTTAAAATGGGGTTTAAAGCTGCTGGCTTTGTTATGTAAAAATATTATTGTCTTAGTTGTGAAAATTAAAAGTGAGGCTGTAACAGAAAAATGACTCCACCCTGATCTCTATTGCACCAAATTTCTATAAATTATGTTCATGTAATTAGTTTGCATCCGCTCAAATGACAGAAAGGTATAATACCTATAATGCATTTTAATTTATTTTTTAAATATATTATCTTTCGGCTCTTTGTTTGGTTTTATGGCCACTCTGTGAATACAAAAATTGTAAAGGAGGCTGTCAGTGGATGCACAGTGAGGTGTTAAAACTCAAAAGTAAAATAAAACCTTTGTACAAGTAAAACTTGAGGGATAGAATCAACCGGTCTGTGTTTGCTCCGACTCTGCACACACCTCCGTACAGACATTGCTCCACAAAAAGCTATAATTAAACATTTTACTTTCTTTCTCTTCATTCTCCTCCTCGTTATCATCCGCTCATAAATTTGCTGGCTTCCACTAAAACTGTACATGTACACTGTACAAAAAATATTGTGAAAAACGATGAGCAATAAATCAGAATTGAGCTTTCAGTGTGAACATAGCCAGTATGTGAATGTCAAGTCATATGCTTGTTGTGCGGCCCTCAAGTGGCCAAAATTAATGCAGATTTAGAAATGTGAATATATTTAAAACAAAAAATACAGATTGTGCCTTTAATTGGTACAGTCATTATGTAAAAATACAAATCATGTTCACATGCAGCTATTTTGCATAATCTAAATAATGATAAAGTTGATGAAAAAGTTACTTCTGCACAGATTTAACATTTTTCAACATATCTGTAATGTTAATTTTGTATTTATCTATAAAATATTCACTGTGTTTTTCAGTTGATCCAGATCGTTTGAGCTGGTGTTGATTTTCTTTTCACTACAGTATGAGAACATCATACTACTTCCTACATTAGCATTAAATATTGCCTCTAATGAACACTAATGAAGCACAGCTGAATACATGTTAATAGAGATCTTGTTGCCTAGATGCCACTCTGATCAAAATTTTTCTTCCTAAACAGTAGTGAGTTGGTGCTCTGTCTAGTCATGGTTGGATTAATCTGGTATCAGATATCAGATATCAGGTTGTGTGTCTGTTGTATGCTGTTTACTGACATCACATTATAGAATTTCCTGGTATAAAATCCTCATAATTCAATCCAGCCACCTCTGGCTGCCAGTTGCAAGGCTGCTTGCCGAACTTTGGGCCAAAACTACCAGCCGTCACTCAGGAGCAATGAGTCTCTCTCTATCACATCATCTCACTCTTTCACATTCATGGCTTCGCTTCAGTCTGCCTGTCTTTCTCGCTTACTGAGGATGCTGTAACGTCTCTCCAGGCACCATCAGAAGGCATGAGTGTAGGAGGTGAGGCCACGGCCGTTCAAATTAGAATTAATTAACCATGTGGTGTGGGAGGCGTGCATGTGTGTGAAATGTGTGTTTCTGAGTTTTGGTCTTGAGTTTCTACTTGAGATATATACTTTTAGCTGTTTCTGCATATGTGTGTGTATTTGAGTTTGAGATATGGACTGCCGCAAGGCAACCTGTTGAACATGTTTGTTCTCCCAATGTTGGCGAGCAAAAATCAGCCTGTGAGCTGACTGCCCATCTGAATGCATGCAACTCACATCAGGACTGATAGCTGGAGTTTAAATGCTTGTTAAAGCGTCTAATTAGTGACAGTGAAGAGCTTTCTTTGAAAGAAATCTGCAATTATAAAGAGAGACAGTGAGAGACCCCTTGCTGAGGGCATTTGCTACAGCTTTGGTATACAGTTAGTAAACACGCTAAATAATGCATAGATCTATTAATGTATCTGTCTTTGTGGCGTTGTCTCACACTCACACACACAAATATGCACTTAGACCGGTCTCAAAGGACCATTTTTTCCCACAAGGTAGAATCTGGAGCTCCCTCACATATTTCAGTCTCCTGATGATTTTACTTGCTAAATCTGCTGGACTGTAGGTAATATCTTCCATGTGTGAACTGCGGATCTCCGTACGTCGCTGTGCTTCAATTTCAAGCTCAGCAGGAGTCTCATGGCATCAGGAACATTACATACTGTACACCCATCTGTTAGTTTCTATAAGAGTATCTGTGTGTGTGTGTGTGTGTGTGTGTGTGTTTAGATAATTAAGTCATGTCAGCATATCAAGGCTGTCATTTTAAAAGAGAACTTAATTACAAAGAGTTGGTGGAACCTGACACCTTTTCTTGTACAAAAAGTTGCTACTGATTTCACATTTCATAGTGCGTTTTTGCACAGCCACCATACTTTCTCCTTTACACTTGGAAGTTAAGCAGTATTCAGTTGGTTGCAATCCGTAAATTCACCACTAGATGACACTTAACACCACTTGTCCTTAATGAAACAAAAAAGCAAAAGTGCTGTTTGCAAGAAAATATTTTCTACATGAAATATGATCCAGTTTCATCCAAGTCACTGATAAAGCTTTGCTTTTGTACAAATGATGAGGCCCAACCCCGATATTGATAGAAATTTGTTTACACTTGTGAAGCGCATGTACCATTTTGTTTTACAGGACAAAATAATTATTGCATTTCAATACAAGCTCAGCTGAGCTCTCCATCAAACATATGACACAAATAATTAGATACCGAAGCACACTGTCAACAAATTAAACTTTTTAAAACAATAGTTTAGGAGTTTGGTTATTTCATATCTTAGCCAGAGTTAGATGAGAAGATGGATACCATTCTCATGGCTGTATACAGTACTACCAGCAGCCGGTTAGCTTAGCACAAAGACTGGAAGATGGGGAAACAGCTAGCATGCCTCTGTCCAAATGTAACAGTGAAGAAAGTCTGGCTGGCTGGCAGGCGACCACGGGAGACTCAAAGAAGAAGGCAAGTGTTACTAGTGACCTTTTCTGTTGGCAGCAGGTTTTGTTACTTTTATAGTAGCCAGGCTATCTTTTTCCCAATTTCTAGTTGTTGTGCTAAGCTAAGCTAACTGCTGCTTGCTGTAAATCCTTTTCATCCAAACCACCAACGCGAGAAAGCAAAACAACACAATATTCACCCAAAATGTAATCACTAGGTTTAAGTGAAAAATAAGTACCAACTAAACAAACACTTTTAAAAACGCTCCACTATGGCCACATTGCTTAAATACGCAAAAGATGCAGTCTCTTGCTCACAGCCAAAGGCAGGTCACCGTGTCGTGGGATGCCAAATGCACAGGGTGATGTGCACCAGTAATCCCATGTTCAGAAACCCAGCCATCGTCAGTAACCCCTCCTCCATTGTGAAGCCTTAACATCCTGGCATCCTTCCCCTCAAAGTAGCCGAACGGTCTTTCAAACACAACCACCAGAGAAACAAATCACACACTTGTCGCTAAGCATATGCCCAGTCATGTTTTCTCCCGTAAAATAAAGCCACACACCACACCACACCACCATCCACACACCAACACACACACGGCATGTGGAATGGTGGCTGGTGTTTTGTGGGATAGCATAGACTGGTCATGCCCAGCACCCTTGAAGTCCCCAATGAAGTTCAAGTTTTAAGGGTGAACCTGTGAAAAAAGACACCTGGGACCTCTCTGCTGCATCTCAGA